ACAACACACACACACACACACACACACACACACACACACACACACACACACACACACACACACACACACACACACACACACGCACACCACACACAGACTCACGCACATTCTTTGTTTCTTTCTTTCGGCTTTCTTTTCCCCATGAATAGGAGGTGACTAGCGCACATGAAAGCATGTATACATAGACATATATGAGGAGGAGGAATGAGGGTAGGATAGCATTAGCAGGAGAAGAACATAGTGGGGTACTGGACCCACAGGAAGCAAGAACACCAGGTTTTCTCTTGGACAGATACCGATGTCGGAGCAGAAACCCTTACAAGGGTATCTGCTCAGTATTTTTAAACATCGGACGAGGTCCGATGACTCATTGAAAAACTATTGATAAAGTAACTTCATGAGTGGATGATCAGCCAAAAAGTTATTCGGACCAACCCTATGACTTGTGCTAAGATGCGTCAAAATGGAAACTGGAAATGATTATTATAGACTAAAGCGCGACCGCCGAAGCAGTCGCCGTTCCGACAATGAACCACGGTAATTTCAGATTGTCGCAGCTGATCAGTTTGACCAGATGGAATAAGTAGAATTACAACACCTGATGTTGAGGTTGACAGGTGCTTTGAAAGTTAGGCGCGGTGATGTTATGATCAAGGCACGGGTTGTAAAAATTGTCGAGTACGCGGTCCTTTTGTGCGTCGTGGCATCGACGCGGCATAGGAGTGATGGATCGCCATGTCGACCGGTAGTGCATGGACGAGTGGCCGCAGGGACGACAATTTTAAGGCCTATCCTACCTAAAATAAGGGTGCTCAGCTGCTGAGCCACGCGGTTCATAACCTAAATGGCTAAAAGAGTGGCCGCGTCAAGTGTGTAGTCGTGGCGCAGAGGATATAGGCCGCTCAGTTTCTTTTCTTAGATTATCCTATTTGAGGGCCTGAAAGACTAGGTAAAAATTGTGCCCAACTCTAGTGGGTTAAAAGAGTACACCTGGGGGGATTCGTTTCCACGCCTGCACTGTGGAGGTCCAACACTAACGTACTGGGCTGGGCGCCCGTTCGGGCTGGGAGCAGGGTACGCAGCTGCAGATGGGCAGGCCGCTGAGAGCTAAGCTTCTCATATACAGAAGTTGCTCCTACTTCTTTCCAAGTAGGAGCTATCCCAACGGATTGAACTCTCAAGTGGCAGATATCGGGATTGTGTCCAATATTGCCCTATATGGACGAGGTCCTTTTTGGGGCGGCCCCTGGCAGTGAAGCAGTACGCACAGCCAATTTCGACCGCGTGATCTTTAGATCGTGCGGACGGAATCGGCCGCGCTGAAATCAGCATGGCTTTACGCAAGGATGACACACATAAATTGAGAAATGGACCAATTATTAATAGTTTGAATACGTCGGGATTCAAACTTGTGCGATCGTGGGGCCCTCATCAGACATACAAGTGTTCTGGGCTGAGCATGGCCCCTGCGCAAGGATTACATGCATAAATCGAGAAATAGAACAGTGCAAATTTTGGGGAAAAAAAAAATCCACGCTTCATGGCTTGTTATGTCTCCAGTCCGGGCATTTCTGGAACATCCGCCCCAGCCCTATACAGTCGACAACACTTCTCTCAAAATTTCAGCCTCTTACAATCCACTCATTGTTATCCTTGGATGACATTACGACTTTTCCCCTGAGAGTCAAGGTAGTTGATCCAGCAAGACGGACTCTGTTTATGATGATCAAGAGTTATCGCTACAGTTGGCACCACCAATAGGTGATAGGATAAACAATCCCACGGCACTTGATGGGGCGACTGGCCACAGAGGTTCCCACGCCCAGAACTCTTCTCCCCTCTTGCACAATCATTCCAGTGCATTTCGAATCCGCGGTGGCTATTTGCCAATCCTTTCTAAGTGAAGGCGGGCCTTAATATCCCCGTGAGGCCTGTTTTCAACATTTTTCCATACATGGGTACTCAGAGAGTTGCAGCACACCAGTTGGTTACAGAGCAACGTGAGCCTCCAGGCTCTTTCCAGAAGCAAAGGGCTGCGCTGTACAGTTGAGCCCAGGTCTCAGTTGGTTGTGCCCTGGGCACACGCTGTGTGAGGCCGATACATCACACAATGGTCATGATCCAATGAGAAAGCAGCATTGTTGTCACACATGAGCCCCGAACCAATGGGAATGCCGCAAACACTTGGAGGCTGGGAGGCTGCCTGGACGTGCCTAACTGCACGAGGCCCAGGCCAGTATCTGAAACTGGGCCTGGGCGCAGACACTTGGGGCCAGAGGCAAGCTACTGCGCCCCCACACGCCTGCCCAGGCCAGCCAGCAGCGGACACGTTTCCCATAAAGGAAAGTGTGTGCCCCCTGGGAGGGCATTCTGGACTTCGCAGGCAATGCGGACACGCTGCTGCGTTGCTGCACTAGTGTCTGCATGGGTGCTGCCAGTCGGATGCACACATGGGTGCTGAGGTGAGGGGCACTGCTGAGGCAGCGGGCGCGCAGCAGGCATAGCCGGGCTGCAGGGGCGCAGGCAGGTGATGGCGAAGGTGGTCTTCGGGTAGGAGGCGCATGGGGTGGGAGACGAGGGGTGATGAAGAGAGAATGTACCTGGTGTATGTTGGTGGTTGGCATTGGTGTTGACGTCACGTACATTGGTCTTTGACTTCGATGTGATCCTGTTGCAAGAACGTAGATCGGTAGATAGGCTGAGTAGAGTAGGTTGGGCGCTCGGCGCCAAACAGTAGGAGCAACATTGGATACAGTGTTGGTGTGAACAGGGAGAGTCAAAATTGACACTCAAGTTCATTGTATTGCTCTTATTTGGATGGAATCTTGGTCTTTTTTTTTTTTTTTTTTTTTTTT